TGTATTTTCCTTTAAATATAGAAACCCATGTAAAACTCTACAAGAATTAACATACATTACCATCTACTACTACAGACTTATTCTAGATTTGCAATAAATACCATATCTGCCATCATGCTGTGGCCCAAAGACAGATCATTTACCCATAAGATTTATGACGTGCGAATGTAGTGTACACCTGGCCGGCGGTGCCCATCTGTGGACCAAACCAGTAATGGCTGTTGTCCTTCGTAGCAGAAAGGTAAGTCCTCGGTCCGGTGTTTCCGAAGAGTCACACGGAAAAGAACCCGCCAAACTTGTCGATAAGAGTAGGGGTCCACCAGAGTGGATCAGAAACGTATATATAGCGCCTTACGCAGCTTGCACTTACGCCGTGACCGGCGGTGCCAGTGCTGGGACATGTGGCGGAGACGCAAATTTAAACATACAGACGAACAAACAACGGATTAAATACATGGAAGGACACATTTCGACGAAACAAAATGGAATGAAATGAAAACAAAGTCACAGGTTCAACACAAGATACGCGTGCAAAAACAAAAAAAAACCTGGGTGAACGGCGCACTGTTCAGCTTCCCAATCTTCCACTTTTCGTCGGCCATTTTCACATCCAAACACCGCACAATGGCCCCAAAGACTACCCTTTGAGTCTATTTCACATTCAAACTCCATAGCACCAGCGAAAAATGCAACAGAAAGCACCAAAACCAATGACAGATGAGACCAAAACACTGGCACGCATGTAAACACGCTACATCGCACGGTTCGCGCGTCCGTCCGAAGTGACATTAACCTTTGACCTGGCCCACAATCCTGTGCGGCGCTGGATCTGTGAGAAGGCTTATTAACATCGAAGGTGCAGAACACTGTTTCCGCCCTATGGGGATTTCTATAGTTAAAGGACCCCACGATGACACATTATAGTAGGGTGTACTTCACAAATACGAAAATCGAATATGTTTAAGATGAAGGTACAAACTACAAAATATCTAGAAACCAAAAAAATCCTGTCCGCGTATCTGCTCGTAACATACACTTTAAAATCGCCCTCTACAGAAGTGACCTGAACTGCAGCCGACTCACCCGGAAAGCCAGTTGCGTAATACGGCGGATTTATACACGAACTGCAAAATCTTCAGAATTCAAATCATACAGTCTCAAACCCGATACATTCCTACACCACACAGCACAATTTACATCTGGCTGACGCTCTTATGAGGCTTTCTACCCAGCCTTCAAGAATATTCGCTGTACTACTTTCTGTACCCGCGTCAAAGACCCCCGGGGATCGCCCATTAATACATGTGTGCTGCGACCTCAAAGGGAACTGGCGTAAGATTCTGGGGCCGAGGTCAATTCTGACCAGGATAGACACATCCCGAAAATGTCTACAAATTATCGTCCTACTGCGGTTCTTCTTCCACAGAAAAACTATTACAAGCAACATTAGAATATTTTTCTGCCCGTTTCTAAGCCTTACCTGCTTCCTATGACGGTTTTTCTCTTCACGTAAACCGGAACTCGGGCAGCTTTGTCCTTCTGTCGTCTCGCGAGGTCAGAGGTGAACGCAAATGGGTCAAAGGTAAAGTTGTGTGCCTGATTACCTATGTAGTACATTTGACGTCGGTTTGAACGTTAAGCTGTCTTCATAATGTCAACGTTCTGCGTTTCAAATCGACCACCTTACAACGTATCAAGCGTCTGACTTTTGTTTCTAATCTACTTTTAAAGACTTAATTTACGGGAATGAATGTCAAGCCAAACTGTTTGGTCTGAATCTTGATTTCTGTGTTTTATGACAATATTCCATCCAAGGAAAAAAGGAAACACAGAAGGAAAAAAAGCAACACAGAAGGAAACTTTATGATCAAGGTATTATACGATTTAATTATATCAGTGGAAAATATCTGTAGATCAAGAAAAAAAATACAAAACAGGAAATTCACTTGTATACAACCTATCGTCTACCTTTACACTGGCGTAAAATTACTTCCTACTTTGGAACTGAAGCACATCAGTCATTTTACACTGATACAAATCAATACTATTAGCTTTTGGGTTTTATCCTAACAAATCCTAGTAGTTTAAAGAGTTGATAGTCACAAGATATAATTGTGTTTGTAGGACATATAGGCAAACACTTCGTGACAGGAACTACTAGTAGATAAACAGAAAATCTAAGCTCGTACACACACAACACTAACGTCTACATTCCAACTACTGTGTACAAACACAGCACTAATGTCTACCTTTCAGCTTCAACTACTGTGTACAATCACTTACCGATGTTAATTACTGATTATGTATATGTACATTATCCAATCAATACTATAACGCTTACTATTCTCACTCTACAATTCTAGATAGCTAAAATAGATTTTGATATCTGATATTACAACAAAGTAAATGGGCTACTAAGCGAAACTAAGACTTATTCTTGTACCTAAATTATAGCCATAACTTAATTAGATATTAAAGTGAACAAGTATAGGGCTTTTTCTTGGGAAAACTTTGCCTACTGGGCAAACATCATGAATTCTTACAGAATATTCAGCCTAAATCTTAATGAACATAACTGTCATATATCCATCAAAATATTAAATGTCGAAACTGTAGCTAACAGCATACTGTGCGTCCTAAATGCCACTACGAGATGGTCACAGTTGCAGACTTGGTGCCTCCGTGTGAATTTTCATATGCCGAGTTAGGGAAGTCTTAGAGGCTGCAGAATAGCTACACTGGTCACACTTGTATGGGTTTTCTCCTGTGGGTTCTCATATGTCGGGATAAGTTGGACCTTTGAGCTGTCCTGTACCCACACTCCCCACACATGTAGGGTTTGTCACCAGTGTGTTGTGCTTTATGTTCATCTAATTTACCTTTCTGTATTGCAGAATAGTCACACTGGTCACACTTGTAGGGCTTTTCTCCAGTATGGGTTCTCATATGTCGGGATAAGTTGGACCTTTGAGCTGTCCTGTACCCACACTCCCCACACATGTAGGGTTTGTCACCGGTGTGTTTTGCTTTATGTTCATCTAATTTACCTTTCTGTGCTGCAGAATAGTCACACTGGTTACACTTGTAGGGTTTTTCTCCTGTATGGGTTCTCATATGTTGAGATAAGGTAGACTTTTGAGTTGTTCTGTACCCACACTCCGCACACATGTAGGGTTTCTCACCGGTGTGTTTTGCTAGATGTAAGTCCAAAGAGGACTTGTGTGCTGCAGAATAGCCACACTGGTCACACTTGTAGGGCTTTTCTCCTGTATGGGTCCTCATATGTCGGGATAAGTGAAATTTCTTAGTAGCCCTGTACCCACACTCCCCACACATGTAGGGTTTCTCACCAGCGTTATTCAAGTTGACGTGTGCTGCCACCTGGCCTTGAACATCGCTTGTTTTGCTGTCACAGTCGACCTGAGAAACCCCGGTGGGAGACGCATCACAGCAGTTCTGACTAACTCCGGTGGGAGACCCGTGTCCTGTCATTGCCATGTTCATCCTAATGAAAAATGGAAATAAAAGGATCAATCTTTAAATGCTGTCAATAATAAAATTGGCTTTTTAGAAAAAAAGTTCAAAGAGTTCCGACTTTAATGTGCTCTACAATATCAACATAATATATAACAACGTAACCCAACATAATTCTAATGTGTTGTCTTTTTCGCATTTGAATAAATTTGCTTCTGTAATGCTTCAAAATCATAATTATTGAGATCTCACACCTCCAAGCTCATTTAAAACTTTTTATATCATATTATTTATTACTTCTACGACTACAAACAATGGGGGCAACTGACTCCATTCGCTAGGCTGGAAAGAGAGTCGGCAGTATAGCCTATAGGTATGTTTGGTCACCAGGTTTCTCTATTTACTGTTTTTACAAATCAGTTCTACGCTTTTCTAGATTTTGTAATGTACGTCCTGTGCGATCCTTTACAATACAATTAACATTTCCATATAATTTCACGTACTCTAAAAAGACAACTTTGCCTGATGCAGCATGACGTACATGTAAGTGGCGAGGGTCGAACGTATGTTTGATTTCGCCCCCCCCCCCTTCAATTCCACAATATTCACATCCCGAAAATGTCTACAAATTATCATCCTACTGCGGTTCTTCTTCCACAGAAATGGTCTTAAACTATTCCCCTCAACATTAGAATACTTTTCTGTCCGTTCCTAAGCCTAACCTGCTTCCTATGACGGTTTTTCTCTTCCCGTAAACCGGAACTCGGGCAGCTTTGTCCTTCCTTCGTCTCGTGAGGTCAAAGGTGAACTTGATCTGGGTCAAGGGTGAAATTGTCGACCCGATTACCCATGTAGCACATTTGACATCAGGTGACAGGTTACGTTTTAGTTTCCTCATAATATCAGCGTTTTACACTTCAAACAGACCAGCTAAACAACCAAAGGGACAAAATTAGTAAAGAAATTAATGTAAAGCCAAACTGTTTGGTCTAAATCTTGATTTCTGTTTTATGATCAACTCACCACCTCTGACAACATTCCAAGGGAAGGAAGCAACACAGGAACAAGGAAACATTATGTTCTAGGTACATAACGATTTAATTATTTCAGTGGAAAATATATGTAGATACATCTTCGGAAAAAAACCCACAAAACAAACAAGAACTTTTACTCGTAAAGTCTCGTATACAACATAACGCCTACGATTTTACTATTGTAAAATTACTAATGTTGGAAGCTGAAGCGAACCAAATGCTAGTTTACATAGTTGACATTTTAGTCAAATATATTTGTTGTACATATAGGCACGCATTTCGTCAAAGAAACTTTTAACAAGAAATCGAAGCTCCATTCATACTATTTCAACGACTACATTTCAACTATTGTCTACAATCACCTACTTATGTTAAGTACTGATTATATGTATATGTACATTATCCAATAAATACTTTCAACTTAAATGTTCTTCTACTTCAGTTCTAAATAACTAAAAATATGATTTCTGTTCTAAATAATTGATACCTACTATTAAAGAACAAAGTGTGCATTAGGCTTCTAAGAAATGTTCTTGTAACTGAACCTTTGTTGGGTAATCAGAAAGCAGTGGATGCAGTTAGAAGTACATGACAATGACGTTTCATAGGGAGAAGGTTTTCCCATTTTGCAAATTTTGTTAATCTTTACAAAATATTTCGCCTATTTTTTAAATAGAAGAAGATATTGAGCACTATTGCATTATATACTTAATCATGACATGAATGGAGAGAAACTGTATATAGTTAAGAAAAGATTGTGCACACAAAATGTCACTACGAGATGGTCACAGTTGCAGAGTTGGTGCTTCTGTGTGAATTCTTACATGTTGAGTTAGGGCAGCCTTAGAGGCTGCAGAGAAGCTACACTGGTCACACTTGTAGGGTTTTTCTACCGTATGGGTTCTCATATGTCGGGATAAGTGAGACTTTTGAGTTGCCCTGTACCCACACTCCCCACACATGTAGGGTTTCTCACCGGTGTGTTTTGCTAGATGTTTATCCAAATCAGATTTCTGTGCAGCAGAATAGTCACACTGGTAACACTTGTAGGGTTTTTCTCCTGTGTGGGTTCTCATATGCTTCGATAAGTTGGACCTGTCAACTGCCCTGTACCCACACTCCCCACACATGTAGGGCTTCTCACCAGCATGCTTTGTTAGATGTTTGTCCAAAGTGAATTTATGTGCAGAAGAATAGTCACACTGGTCACATTTGTAGGGTTTTTCTCCAGTATGGGTTCTCATATGTCGGGCTAAGTGGTACTTTTGGGCTGTCCTGTACCCACACTCCTCACACATGTAGGGTTTCTCACCCGTGTGTTTTGCAAGATGTTTTCCCAAATCATATTTCCGGGCTGCAGAATAGTCACACTGGTCACACTTGTAGGGTTTTTCTCCTGTATGGGTTTTCATATGTTTAGATAATGTAGACTTGTAAGTCGCCCTGTACCCACACTCCCCACACATGTAGGGTTTCTCACCAGCGTTATTCAAGTTGACTTGTGCTGCCACCTGGCCTTGAACATCGCCTTTTTTGCTGTAACAGTTGACTTGGGAAACTCCGGTGGGAGACCCATCACAGCAGTTCTGACCAACTCCGGTGGGAGACCCGTGTCCTACCATTGCCATGTTCAGCCTAACAAAAAAAACGAAGAAATTATACAGATTAAGCGTTATAAGCTGTCAATGATAAAATAGAATTTATAGAAAACAAGCTTCTAAGAATTCTTCGTTGAATTAAAAAAACTTCACCAAGCATTACAATTTTAACATAATGCATTACAACGTAACCCAACATAATTCTGACGTGTTGTCTTTCTCGCATTTGAATAAATTTGCTTCTATATTGTTCCAAAATCATAATTTGAGATCTTACAATCACTCACTCACACCACCAATCTCTTAAAATATTTTATATCATATTAGTTATTACTTCTACGACTACGAACAATGGGTAAGATGACTCCATTCGCTAGGCTGGAAAGAGAGTCGGCAGTATAGCCTATAGGTTTGGTCACCAGGCTTCTCTATTTACTGTTTTTACAAATCAGTTCTACGCGTTTCTAGATTTTGTAATGTACGCCTTGTGCGATTCTTTACAATACAATTAACATTTCCATATAATTTCACGTACTCTAAAAAGACCACTTTACCTGATGCAAATCGACGTACATGTAAGTGGCGAGGGTCGAACGTATGTTAGGTTTCGCCCCCCTCCCCCTTTAATTCAACGATATTCACATCCCGAAAATGCCTACAAATTATCATCCTACTGCGGTTCTTCTTCCACAGAAATGGTCTTAAACTATTCCCTCCAACATTAGAATACTTTTCTGTCCGTTTCTAAGCCTTACCTGCTTCCTATGATGGTTTTTCTCTTCACGTAAACCGGAACTCGGGCAGCTTTGTCCTTCCTTCGTCTCGTGAGGTCAGAGGTGAACTCCACGTAGGTCAAAGGTGAAATTGTCGGCCTGATTACCCGTGTATTGCATTTGACGTTGGTTGCCACGTTACGTTACGTGTTTCTTCATAATGTGAAAGTTCTGCGTTTCAAGAACTCCGACCGCACCGGCACGGTGAGTAGCCTTGTCCTGACAGACTATTCCAAAGCGTTCGACCGTGTCGATCACACCATTGCCGTAACACGTCTGTTAGACCTCGGGTGCAGACCAGCTCTCGTACCGTGGTTATGCGATTTCTTGTCCGGGAGACGACAACGGGTTCTGTATCAGGGTACACTCTCCGAATGGGAGGTCTTAACATGCGGTCTTCCCCAAGGAACCGTACTGGCGCCAATTATATTTATTGCTACCATAAACAGTGCAGCTCAAAACGCAGTCTCGCATCATTGGAAGTTCGTCGACGATCTGAACTTGATAGAGACAAAACAGATTCAAGGCCAGTCATCACTGCAGCGAGACCTCACCGATTTGGAAAGTTGGACGAAAGAGAGTAAGATGAAACTACACCCCAAAAAATGTAGGGTGATGCACTTGAATCTGCTTCGCTAGAATTCCACCCACACTTCACTACCGTCCGTACAGATCGATGGTCACGTACTCCAGACTGTTCTGATCGCAAAACTGCTAGGAGTGTGGATACAGACAGACTTAAAATGGGACACACAAGTCAACCATATGTCTACACAAGGTAGCAAGCGTCTCTTCATCTTAAAGCGCCTAAAACAGTTCAACCTACCGACGACCGACTTGACTACAGTGTACACTACATACGTGAGGCCGGTACTAGAGTACGCTGCCCCGGTGTGGAGCTCAGGACTAACAAACAAACAGTCATCGCAGATTGAATCCATCCAAAGGAGGGCATGCAGGATTATCCTGGGGAACGGGTACACCGGTCACCAGCTACGCAGACGCCTGTGCACAGCTCGGTCTCCAACCACTGAGAACGAGACGGGAACAGCTGAGCCTCCGCTTCGGGAAGAAACTGTTGAACAGTCCCTTCTTTAGAAACTTGCTCCCCCCCCTCCCGTGGGCAGACAAGTAACAGGCACACAAGACATTGTAACGATCTAGACACAATCAGAACTAGAACTGAAAGATTTAGAAACAGTAGCATACCTTACCTTGTAAGACTACTGAACAAATACAACAATCTGCCATGATACGGTATATGCTATTGTAAATACTTTTAAAAATTTTGCTGTTTTTAACCGCTTGACTATGATCGCCACCTATTGTAAATACTTTTAATAATTGCTGTTTTTAACTGTCTTTAATAATTGTTTTTAATATTTGCGCCAACCGTTTTTAACAATTTGTAATGCGACAGATCAATTCAGGGCCCTGCGGGGACCCTGCTACTCTGTACAGCATAGTATAAAAAGAAATAAACCAGTATTATTATTATTATTATAAACCCACCACTTTAAGAACGTCACAAGCGTCTAACTTTTGTTTCTGATCTAATACAAAAGAGAGATTTTTAGGGAATGAATGTCAAGCCAAACTGTTTGGTGTGAATCAAATAAAATAGAATAGAATTTTGATTTCTGTGTTTAATGATCAACTCACCACCTCTGACAATATTCCATCCAAGGAAAAAAAGCAACACAGAAGGAAACATTATGTTCAAGGTATTACACGATTTAATTATTTCAATGAAGAATATCTGTAGGTCTAGATACATCTTCGAAAAAAAAACAGGAAATTTACTTTTATACAATCTATCGTCTACCTTTTCAATGGCGTAAAAAGACTTCCTACTTTGCAAACTGAAGCACATCAGTCATTTTACACTGATACAAATCAATACTATTAGCTTTTGGGTTTATTTATACAAATCCTAGTAGTTTAAAGAGTTGATAGTTACAAGACATAATTGTGTTTGTAGGACATATAGGCAAAAACTTCGTGACAGGAACTACTAGTAGATACACAGGAAATCTAAGCTCGTACACACACAACACTAACGTCTACATTCCAACTACTGTGTACAAACACAGCACTGATGTCTACCTTTTAGCTTCAACTACTGTGTACAATCATTTACCGATGTTAATTACTGATTATGTATATGTACATTATCCAATCAATATTATAACGCTTGCTATTCTCACGCAATCCTAAGTAGCTAAAATAGATTTTTCGTTTGAAAATAATTGATATTAGGACAAAGTATATTGGATACTAACTAAACTAAGACTTATTCTTGTACCTAAATCATAGCCATAACTTATTAGATATTAAAGTGAACAAGTATAGGGCTTTTTTTTGGAAAACCTTTGCCTACTTGCAAACATCATGAATTCTTGCAGAATATTAAGCCTGAGATGGTCACCGTTGCAGACTTGGTGCCTCCGTGTGAATTTTCATATGTCTAGTTAGGGCAGTCTTAGAGGCTGCAGAATAGCTACACTGGTCACACTTGTAGGGCTTTTCTGATGTGTGCGCTCTCATATGTCGGGATAAGGCAGACTTCTGAACGGTCCTGTATCCACACTCCCCACACATGTAGGGTTTCTCACCAGCATGCATTTCTAGATGTGTGTCCAAATTAGCTTTCTGTGCTGCAAAATAGTCACACTGGTCACACTTGTAGGGTTTTTCTCCTGCATGGGTTCTCATGTGTACAGATAGGTAAGACTTGAAAGTTGTCCTGTACCCACACTCCCCACACATGTAGGGTTTCTCACCGGTGTGTTTTGCTTTATGATTATCTAAGGTGTCTTTCTGTGCTGCAGAATAGTCACACTGGTCACACTTGTAGGGGTTTTCTCCTGTATGGGTTCTCATATGTCGGGATAAGCTGGACCTGTCACCTGTCCTGTATCCACACTCCCCACACATGTAGAGTTTCTCACCAGTATGCTTGACTAGATGTCGGTCTAAATTGTGTTTCAATGCTGCAGAATAGTCACACTGGTCACACTTGTAGGGTTTTTCTCCTGTATGAGTTCTCATATGTCTGGATAAGGTAGTCTTAAGAGTTGTCCTGTATCCACACTCCCCACAAATGTAGGGTTTCTCACCAGTGTGTTTTGCTAGATGTTGGTCCAAATGATATTTGCGTGCTGCAGAATAGTCACACTGGTCACATTTGTAGGGTTTTTCTCCTGTATGGGTTCTCATATGTTCGGATAAGTGGGACTTTTTAGCTGTCCTGTACCCACACTCCCCACACATGTAGCGTTTCTCACCCGTGTGTTTTGCCTCATGATCATCTAAGGTGCACTTCCGTGCTGCAGAATAGTCACACTGGTCACACTTGTAGGGTTTTTCTCCTGTGTGGGTTGTTGGGATAAGGTAGACTTGTAAGCCGCCCTGTACCCACACTCCCCACACATGTAGGGTTTCTCACCAGCGTTATCCAAGTTGACGTGTGCTGCCGCCTGGCTTTCAGCATCGCTTGTTTTGCTGTCACAGTCGACCTGGGAAACCCAGGTGGGAGACCCATCACAGTAGTTCTGACCAACTCCGGTGGGAGACCCGTGTCCTCTCATCGTCATGTCCAGCTTAAAATGAGAAAATGGAGAAATCATGGAGATTTGCAGAAAACAATGTATTTTCCCAATTAGATTGAAACGTAATTCATGACAACTCAATAAATGATACAGGGATATAGTCATTGCAACTCTTAAATTGGGCTCATTTGCTGTTCGACAAAATACATACGTCGGCTGTATCACAATTGAGTGTACCCATTTACTTTTCCACTTGTTACCAGTTGATAAGAAAGTCTACATGATATATTGTTGTTTCAGACTTATATTTCCCAAAAGCTGGTGTGACAAGGAACATAACAATAAGAAAAGTAGGGAAATCGGTCAATATTTGGCGAAACTATCGACAAAAATATTACTTAAAAATGACCTATTTTCAATGTTACCAGCCGTCATTCAGTTTTTTCACATTCTAACCATTGCAGCAGAGATCACAAACATGGTTGCTACCTTAAAATTGCTTATTTTGTACAAGCAGGCATATGTTGGCTAGAGATTTATTACCAATTTTTTAAGGTACACCACCTTTTTTTTTTGCCGGGAAGGTTATTTTTCATTTTACCCCCATGTTACCAATTTCAGTGAAATATTTACTTAAAGATTGCAAGGTCTGTAGCATAGTTTAAATATACTGTTATAAGTGCTAGTTTGACATGTAAAAGTTTAAT